GTAAATTATAATATAATAAAAAATCCTTTAATAATATATTACATATATTCAAATCTTGATTAAACAAAAGTGACTTTAAACAAAACATTGATGTGTTTTCAGGTGTGTCAGCATCCAAACTCCAGAATGAGAGAATGGGGAGCAGAAGCTTTAACTTCTCTCATTAAAGCAGGACTGACATTCAGCCATGATCCTCCATTATCTCAAAATCAGGTAAAGTAAGTTTAAGAGCAGCTGCTTTTCTGGAACTTAAAATGAACATGAAATCAAAATCTTCCCTAGAGGAAATTTTCTACAGCTCATGAATTAGGGGCATCATAAAGCAACTTTACTATTGAGTTTATAAAGCCTACAGCTGTAACATTCCAGTGTAACTATTGAAAATTACCTCATGCATTCTAATGAACTACCCTCCTTACTTGTTTCAAATGTGTAACAAAAGTGGTGAGGCTTGCGTATTATGTCCCTTTGTTAGACAAATTACAGATCACCCTCTTGAGTGTAAAAACGATTCCAGAACGTTTAGAAGTGTATATGTGATACGGTGGCAGGTAAAAAATAAATTGTCTGACCTTCTAAATCCCTGCTATTCAACCTGTTATTAATAAAACATTCTGGTATTTTTACTCTCTCTTTTTGTTGAGGTTCAGTGGATAGGTTTTTCAAGGTCTCTTTAATAGGAAGCTGAGGTAGCCCTGCTAGGTTAATGTAAAGTTGAAAGGATCATTTAAATTTTTGCATCCTTGCTATGCTTTATTTTTTACTTTTAGAGACTGCAGTTGCTTTTATTGAATCCACTAAAGGAACTGTCAAACATTAGTCATCCCGATATCAGGATCAAGCAGTTGGAGTGTGTGCTGCAGATTTTGCAAAGTCAGGGTGACAGCTTAGGACCTGGTTGGCCATTGGTGCTTGGAGTCATGGGGGCAATCCGAAGTGATCAAGGGTAAGTGATGGAAATAAAATTTTAAATCATGTAAGGTAAAAGGAGTAGAATAATTCCACTTTTATTTTCTCACTTTAGTAGCCACCTCAATAATAGCCATAATTTTCACCATAATTTTTAGCTTGTGAACAATTTTACTCGACAAAAGTAAAATTTTTAATTTTTCCTGTAGCACACATTTATTTTACTGAATTAATCTTTCAGAAGAACAGAATATTGTTCCACTCTAGCCTCTCCTGTGGTCAGCATGCAGTATACACTGAGGAGTACTCCTTGTGCCAATTCATTTGATCTTAACCATCTGCTAGACACATCTCTGGTGCTTACAGATAATTCTGTACAGCTTGGCTGTAGCTCAGTTTCTCTGCTGTTTCTTTCTCTTCCAAAGTCGTTGGATGGTCTCTAGTGTGTGGCATCTTCTGAACACTCTGTTTCTGTTGAAGCCTTCCTCCCTGAATGGCTGCTGGTAGCACAAGGATGAAAGTTTATTTACTTGCTTTGCATGAATCGCTTGGTTGACTAGCAAAGCTGACTGTTATGAACAGAGAGGAAATGTTACTGGACTGGTCCTCTCGCCCGCAATGGGAAGTGAGAGGTGAAGTTGCAAGGAGTTTCTTGAAATGAGCAGTAGAATGAACATTGGACCCTGGTACTGTAAGCACCAACACCTGTATCCATACACTTAGACCATATTATTCCTTCTTTGGTGCTAGTCTTGATTAGGTCATCAAATAATACTAGTATCAGAAGAATTCATGTTGGCATATCTCTGCTTGCACCCACTTTAGCTTCTGTCTTCTGGCCATATCATGACCTCCTAGAGTCTCTTCAAATGCTTGAAGGATTTTGCTCTTGTGTCAGTATTGCTTGTTCTGGCAGTAATACTCTCCAAAATCGCCAAGAATGTTTACATTCGTGGTTGTGAGCATCCTCTTTTAGGTAACCATGCTTTGGTACCTGCTGTTTCCACACTTGGTGCAATGTGTTCTATGGTTCCTACATGCCTTTTGATTTTCATTTCATTTTCATTGTTGTTGACGGATGTAACCAACACAGATTTCTTCCCAAGACGCTCTTCAGATCCCTTTACGTCTCAAACCCGTACCTTACTGGCAGATAACTCAATATGTTACTAAGATCTTGTGTTGTATCTTAGTGTCCTCCAGCTAAGCATATAGAATAATCTACTTAACTACATAGCATTGTTTGCCAACATCATATCAACTATAGTAGGAAAAAAATTAAGCAAGCCTCATTTTCTTTGGGAAACAACTGAATTTCTTACCTCACTTACAGCTGTGAGCAGAAGATGCAGACACTGTTATACATTACATGTAAACTTACTGACCATGACACTTTCTTCACAAAAGTCTGGTCAGTGAACGTCCTGGAGAAATCCATTTACCTTCCAGGAGAACTTCTTGCCAGGCTGCTATAAATGCAGAAGATGCTTTGATCACTTCTTGATTGTATGGTACTAGCCTGCCAAACAAAAGGTAGTCTGTCATTGAAGAATTTTTCAATGGGATGCCCCTGTTTATTTTAAGGGTAGATAAAGCCCTGTATGATCTTAAGTTCTTGAGCTAAGCTTAGATTTCTTGCATTTATATTTACCTTTTTGGTGGCCCCTATATCATCAAGGACAATTTTACATTTTAAAGAGCTGTGTTGCTGTTGCCACTTGCATGAAGGACTTTGAAACCTTTCTCCAAATATGTAGTAGTGTGGGGCACTAACTGGGAGATAAATCGTTCTGAATTTGTTCTAGCAACCTCACATTTGAAGATTAGAAAGAGATGTTACTTTTCCATTAACTCAGCTCTTCTGTAGTTGTAACTATACTTTCATTTCTTACCTCCTTCCCTTCTCTCTTATAGTCTTTGAAGGTCACATACCTCTAGAGCCTTGTAGAGGTGCGGGAACACAGCAGTTCTGGGTGTGTTTCACTTTATAGACTCCTGTATCGAATGTGGGGGAAAGCAGTGTGTGAGCATTTCCTCCATGAGTACATCAATGATAAATCCTTTGATCTTATGTGGTAGGATGGATATATCTCTACAGTATGCATCATATTTAGAGAGTTATTACTTATACCATTATTGACGATGGGAAGTTTCTTGTACTTTCCTCTGGCTTCCATATAATCTTGGCTGTTACGATACAGTGGAAATGGCCCACCTATGATTTTCATTTTGAATTAATTGAAAAAATCATTTTATTTAGGATTATGAAATATGTAACTGACATATCTGTGTTCTAATTTTTTTCCTGGGATTCTTATTTTTAAGGTTACAAAGTTTCTGTATTAAAAACCTTTGGATTTTTTTTTCTTCTGTACATTAAATATTTAGCATTAAGTAAACCTGCAAACTATAGTGAAATTTAGATGCAGCTTCCCTATTCTCTATTATCTGCACTCCACAACTCTGATTCTTGCATTTTGTCTCTCGCTAACCAGGGTTTTAGTTAAAGATGACCTTGCTGCTTCTGAGAGCTCCTTCTCACAAATCTTTTCTTTACTACACACTTACTATATTATCTTAGACAAAATATTGTCAAAATAACTGCCATTAAATAGATATTTAATAAATATTTTGCCTTCAATTAAATTCTGAATACAAACATAAAATAAGAACTATTATAAGGAATAAAATAAGAATAAAATATTTTTATTTATTGTGAAAGTTGCATACTAACATAATGATGCTCTGACTTGCTTTCTATACTACATTTTTTTTATGTTTGCATTCAGAGGCAAGATATTCTGAAAAGACTTTGTCCAACATAATATGTATTTGTGCCTACCTGTTTGGCATACTTTAAATAATTTGTAACTGCTGGTACAAGAAACTGTACAGAAGAGCTTACTCTTTAGAAGATTATCATGCTTAAACTTAAGCTTTGTTTTGTCTGTTGTGGCTTTTTTAGCTGACACACTTAAACTAAGAAGTCCTGAGACTCTAGAACAGAGAAGTGGCTTTACTATATGAAGCTAGTGAGGACCGTTGGAGAGTCTGAACTTTAACTTCATTAGCTAGTTAACATAGACTAAAATATTTCCTCAGAAATTGAAGCTTCAGCTTAATACCTTTAAAATGTCTCTAGGGGAAGCATTTAAAGTGTTGCAAATTAATCTCAAAAATGTTCAATGTATTTTTTTCTTTTTTAAGTAACCCTGTCTCCTGAGGTGTTCTATTCAAAACATAGCTGTGCTCTTGAAATTAGAAATGAGTGTGTGCGTGTTTTGTTTTTGTTTTGTTTTTTTAAGAGAGTCCTTAATACGGACTGCATTCCAGTGTCTTCAGTTGGTTGTGACAGACTTTCTTCCAACAATGCCGTGTACTTGCCTACAGATAGTTGTTGAAGTTGCAGGAAGCTTTGGACTTCACAATCAAGAGCTAAATATTAGCTTAACTTCAATTGGTTTGTTGGTGAGTTTTGTATTAACCTACGGTGATGCTGCTTCTGGCTCTCATTTTATTTTTTTCTTTTTTTTTTTTTCTCTTTAAATTAAGATTAATCTGTAGTCAATGCTACAAATGAAGACTAAAACCTATTTTTCGAGTTCTTACTGAACTCCCATGCTGTCATTTGGAATCGTATGTAAATTGAGCGAGAATAATTTATCTTTAATCTGCATGACTCCAGGATTAGTTAAATAGTGTTGTGTTGTAACCATGTTGATCGGTATCTTATTTTTAGTACACTGTTTCCCTTTATAGTGCTTCATGTGTACATGGGACCTTAAAGCTGAGGCTAAGAAAAATACTTTCTGCACCTTGTGGTATTTATGTGCTGATCTTCTTCCAGCAGCGTAGGGTAGTTAGTATCTTGATGTACTTTGCAAAGTACTCTTAAATATAAAAATGAGAAACAATTTATTTCATGATCATTAAGACCATTATAATATTTTTATTGTACAACAGCATATGTCTTATTTATTTTGTAGTGGAATATTTCGGACTATTTTTTCCAAAGAGGTGAAATAATTGAGAAGGAGCTAAACAAAGAAGAAGCAATGTTGCAGAAACAGGCAGAAGAAAAGGGAGTGATGCTGAATAGACCTTTTCATCCTGCATCACCATTTGACTGTCTTTGGTTATGCCTGTATGCCAAACTAGGGGAGCTGTGTGTGGATCCACGACCTGCAGTTAGAAAGAGCGCTGGGCAGACATTGTTTTCTACTATTGGTGCTCATGGAACTTTACTGCAACATTCAACATGGCACACAGTAATATGGAAGGTATGATGTGCAAGATTCCACTAAAGGTTTCTAAATTGCATTCACATTTTAATAGCCACTGATACGCTATTTTGATAACAATTAGCTAGTTTGTTGAGACTTTTTAAAGACAACAACATGTGGTAGCAGAAATCTGTTTTCTTGGGATTTGGGAGTGCTTTTTTACACTTTCTCTGGCCCTTAAAGTCTCTTATGAAACATAAATTTTGTATCTCAATCATTAATTTCTTAGGAGTTGGATAAAAGTCTGTTTACTTCCTACAAGGAGATATGACTCATTTTTTGTGCAAAAATATGGAGATGTTTGAGGGTTATGTGATTGGGCTGATCTGATATTAGATTGAACTTTTGACTCTCTTCTTTGAGAGAATCTATGAGATGCCCTGTTCTGGGTCACAGTCATGTTGGTTGTGCCTTATGAAAAAATCAGCCTGTTGTTACCTATGAGATATCTCATATCCACTGGTTTTAGTCTTCTGTTAGTGCTAATACTGTTCTCAGTGGGTTTGATAATGCTGTTTCTAACCATTCTCAAGTGAACATCAGTTAGCTGATTCTTACTCTTAGCTGTTGTTAGACTGCTTAGAATAAGGGAATTCTCCAGGTGACCCAGTGACAAAAAGATAATGGAAAAATTACTGTTTTTTTTCTGGTTTTACCATAAATACAACTATGTTATTTGAAAAGTTGCCTTTTCCCTCTTTTTCTGACTATTACAGGTTTTATTTCACCTATTGGATAGGGTTCGAGAATCTTCTACCACTGCTGACAAAGAGAAGATTGAATCAGGAGGAGGCAACATTCTCATTCATCACTCAAGGGACACAGCTGAGAAACAGTGGGCTGAGACATGGGTATTAACGCTGGCTGGAGTTGCAAGAATTTTTAACACCAGGAGATACTTACTGCAGCCTTTAGGTAAAATTTAAAAGCTAGTGAAAGATACAGTAATAAACTTTCTGCTCTTGTATTTTCAGTTAAAGTACTGGGCAACAATCTTCATCTTAGCTTTAAAGTGTGTTCTATTTTGTCTCACCTCAAATGTCATGAAAATTACAGAGTTTTTAATTCATGCTCTTTAGAGCCAAAAAATTTTAAGTACCAATTTAATCTTTCGTATCACAGCACTTGAGATTAAATCTCAGTAGTCACAATTCTGGGTGCCAAATAGCTTTAATTTATAATAGCCTGCTAACAGTAATAATTTTTCTGTTCTTTTGGTTGTGAGAATATCTTTCCTTTTGTCTTTCTAAGGTTATGCAACACTTGCCTGGAACTCTTCCATGGCATCAGTGTGTCAAGTTTAACCAGTGCTCTTGCAACATAAAGAGAACTCACTGGTAAAGTCAGTGAAGTATTGAACATTTATGTATGTAGTAGTATTTTAGAGTAGCTTGGTAAATGACCTAATGTTTAATTTCTATAAAGAGAAAGCAGTAAAGAAACAGGGAATGTATAACTCGCATTACATTAGTATAACTTCACCATCCCATAGTATGCAATTAATATATCTGTAACTAGGAATAAGTTGTGTTTTATTTTGGTTATTTGTGGTACAAGATATCAATATATTAGTAGCTATCAGGAGAATTGGTCATCTGCAGAAATGTAATAGATTTTAAACTATATTAAGCGTGAATTAAAACTGAATAAAAAAATAAACCATTACAGGAGTATTTTAATTATTCAGAACTTGTAATTAGTAACATAGAAAATTGAAAGCTAAAGCTGGATTTAATGAAAAACTCAGACTGAAAAAAAAAAAAGAAATCTTTCTCCACAGTACAATTACTAGGGCATTTTAAAATCAATTTTTTATAAATTAGTTGCATTACTATACATTTGACTCTTCCTTGTATGTGCTTAAATCAACAGGCATCTGGTATGTATAACAGCTAATCTGTTTCACTATACTGAATTAAGAAAATACATGTTTCTGATATGGGATGGGGTATGTGATTTTTTGTTAATGAATTCAACATAAATGTAGATATATTGTTTCATTCTTCATATTTGTGTGTTTCTCTGTTACATTCATTTTTTCTGGTTGTGGTTGAACTGATACATTCTAAAAGTCATTCAAGCCATCACCTAACTTCATGAAATTTCCATGTATTAGAGCAACAAGTACATGAACCTTTTAGAGACAGAGTGGGTGGGAAGAGGATGAAGAAGTCCATTCCAAGTTGATATTTTTTTTTTCCCCCTCTCTTTTTTAAACAGGAGACTTTTCCCAAGCCTGGGATGTTCTTCTTGATCACATCCAATCAGCAGCACTCAGCAAAAACAATGAAGTTTCCTTGGCTGCTCTGAAAAGCTTCCAGGAGATCTTACAAATTGTTTCTCCTGTCCGAGACTCAGAGAAGCCTGATACACCACCTGCTATCAATGTTTCTGTACCTGTGGTGGTAGGGACAACAACTGCCACTAGTCTTGGCAGATCATTCATGAGAACTGACTCCATAGGAGAAAGGATAGGAAGATACAATGGATCTGAACTGCCTGTAATAACAGATGAGATTGAAGATTTGAATCTTTGGTGGGCAGCCTGGAACAGCTGGTACAGGATTGGTTCAGAAAGTACAAGGCCTCCAGTTACTTGTGATAAATTGACTTTCATTCCCAGCCAGCCTTTTCTTACAGCTTTAATTCAAATATTCCCAGCTCTTTACCAGCACATCAAAACTGGTTTCAGCATGGGTGATCTCCAAAAGCTGGGTGTCATTTTGCATGGTGCTGTTTCAGTTCCAATCAGTTCTGATGCTTCCCCTTTCATCCTTCCATCTTACACTGAAGCAGTTTTGACAAGTTTACAAGAAGCAGTGCTTACAGCTTTAGATGTTTTACAAAAGGTAATAATATGACTTCAAATGCGTGGTGAAAGGTAAACTACACTGTGTCTCAATTCTTCTTCTCAGAACTATAGTTTGGTGACAAACATGATTTTTTATATTATTTATAATTGCACAGTGTATTGTATTCGAACAATCTGATCTCCATTCTTGGTGCAACCCAATGCTCTGCATTGAAAGGAATGGTATAATCTTTATGAAAGGCACTTCTGCTTGATTACAGAAATACTTTAAGTGTTGTGCTGTGTTTGTAGTCATTTACTTGTCTATCTAATATTAAGATGTTGTACTATTATGAAGGTCTGTACATGGAGATGGAAGAACAGTCACATAAACAGTATTCCTTACATTGCCCATGTACTACCATAACCAAGTCTAGAAGAACAGTGATCATGAGAACTTTGAGTTCATGCAAAACACGAAGTATAGAAGGGTCTCTGGCAGAGCACCTACCTTCTTGCCTCTGATTAGTGAGTTAAGGAAAATGCTGCATATCTACTTAGAAAATTCTTACTATAGAATTCATCCTCAAAGTACACCCTTCATGCAAGTGAATCTGTAAACACCAAATTATGGTGCCATCTTTCTGGATAGTTAAAAAAAGAAAAAAGTAGTGCTTCTTTCTTACTGGAGTTGTAAAATATCTGCTTGCAGAATACACTGTTCATTCAGAAAACTTACTTATTCAAAAGAAGCAAAGTTGGTAATTACCAAGATAATGCATTTGTATTAAGCACTGCTTTAAAAAAAACTAAACCCTGAAACCCTCCAAAAAACCTATTTGGAGAAACGTCAGAATTAGAACAAACTGTCCACATGACCTGACTTCATTCCTTATGAGCTTTCATATTATGACTAGATTGCTTAACTGCATGCTCATACCTCTACCCCTCAATAGGATCCTGCCCCATTTAGCTCATAGAACACATGGTTCCTACTAGACAAGCAGCAATTCTGTATCTTGTTTTCTTTCTGCTTAGTGTGGGTTGACTTCTCTCATACTTACTTAAACCCCACAAGCAAGGCAGAATCATTATCTTGCTGTCATTTATTTGGTTTATGGGATTAACAAATATTCGTGAATGTATTTTGAGAACAGAGGCATAAGATTAGAAGTTTGGTATTAAATCTCAGTTTTGTATGTGGGGATATAAATAACGTGAAGTTTTAACGTTGTATCTGCTACATTTTCATCCTTTTCCAGTCAGCCATGATCTTTTTGTGGCCTCCACTTTCCAGCAGCTGAGCCCTGCTCAGGTCCTGTTTTCCCCACGTAATTACTCCATCTATTCATCTCAGATTTTTTCTATTTCTTTGCTGATGTCCTTATCCATGTTAAATTATTTTAGCTGAAGTTCTGTTAAACAGTAACAAAAAAGCTCACCATGAGAAACAGGCATCTCCCCTTCCCTCTTGCATTTTAAATGGTTAGTGTGGCAGTGACAGGACTTTGCAAATACAGACTTAGATAGGAAGGTACTGCAATTTTTACAGTAACTCCCAGTATAAAAACCGTAGCCCATGACAATAGCTGCACTGCAAGTTGTTAGATTAATCTGAACCATTAAAAAATTTGAAGGTTAGTACCAGAATGCTTTGAAACACAAATTTCTGAAACTAAAGTCCTGTGTCAATTTTTACAACAAACAGCAATCTGCAGAGTATTTTATTTTAGGATTTGTTTGTGGTTTATTGTTGCCTGACCATTACTTTTTGACTCATACATCTCTCTACTGAAGTATGTAAATAAGTGCACTCAATGCAGTAAATAGTACTCAGTTTTAATAAGCGGCTCTTAAAGGTACTTTAAACATCCTTCATCACACGCTTTGCTAGGCTATTTTTGAGTTTTTGAGCTGCTTAGTTAAGTTACCTGGTGTCAGAAGCATAAATGTCTTCGAAAAGCAATTCTAGTTAGATGAATTTTTGAAACTAAGTGACTTAATTCTCCAGTTTTTAATATATGGATAATTTTTAGAGTTGAAAATACTCCAGTAGAGTAGAATAGAAAATGCTTCTATTTGTACATTAAAAATTTTACAAGAGTTTCATAAAGTATTAAGAATAAGAAGCTACTCATGCATGAACTTCAACTAGGAAATAGTTATTGCTTTTGTTCACTAGTACAGAACAAGTAGCATCTGAAATTATTTGCCACTGATCCTGAAATGAATAATAATGGCAACAAAAATCTTGGAATTAATGGCAAATATACTTTGAAGTTTGGCCATTATAGATAATAGAATAATTTAGGTTCAAAACCACTTTTTTTAAGATTGTGGACTCCAACCATTAACTTAACACTGCCAAGTCCACTGCAAACCCCTCAGTGCCACATCTACATGTTGATTAAATACTTCCAGGAATAGCAACTCAGCCACTTCCTTGGGCAGCCTGTTCCAGTGCTTGCAACCCTTTCAGTGAAGAAATTTTTGCTAATATCCAATCTAAACCTCCCCAAGTACAACCTGAGGCCATTTCCTTTTGTCCCATTGCTTGTTACTTGGGAAAAGAGATCAACACCCAGCTCACTATAACCTTTTGTCAGGTGGCTGTAAAAAGCAACAAGATCTCTCCTGAGCCTCCTTTTCTCCAGACTGAACAGCCCCAGACCCCTCAGCCACAACCCATAAGACTGCGCTCCAGACCCTTCACCAGTTTCGTTGCCCTTCTCTGGGCTGCACCTCAATGTCTCCCCTAGTTCTGCTGCTCACATGATGCAAGCTGGGATGCCGTTGGCCTTCTTGGCCACCTGGGCACACTGCTAGCTCATACCTCGGCAGTACCCCAAGGTCCTCTTCCGCCAGGCAGCTTTCCAGCCATTCTTCCCCAAGCCTCTAGTGATGCATGGGGTTGTTGTAGCCCAGATGCAGGACCCAACACTGAGCCTTATTGAATGTCATGCAATTGGCCACTGCCCATCGACCCAGCCTTCTGCAAAGCCTTCCTAGTGGATCAACAGTCCTCTCAACTTGGTGTTATTTGCAAACTTACTGAGCGTGCACTTGATCCCCTCATCCATATCATTCATAAAGATATTAAGCAGTACTGGTCCCAGTACTGAGCCCTGGGGTATGTTAAGATAGTCTTCTGTGGGTAGTGTAAGTAGGACTTGTGCAAGTAAATTGCATCTCTACAAAAGTTATCCAGGGGGTTATGGATGCTCCCTTTCCCTTTCTAAGCCATCTGTTGGTATATAAAATAATTCTTATACTTTTTCTAATAGGTATGTAATCTTGCATTAACCTGTTAAACTTCAGTGCAGTGACTTTAGTGCAGGAGCCTATCAGCTGAAATTTTTTACAGTGTGCAATACTTTTAGCAGTTAAGCACCTTCTGCCACACAGGTGAGTTTCTAGCATTAAAGCATCTTTTCCAGAGTTCAGTACAGTCTTAAACTTGAGCACCAGAAAAGGGGTGTGGCTTTTTAGAAGAAGTGCTGCACTATATTCATAATGTTGATAAAGGTTTTTGAGCACGAGGCATGTGCTTTGAATTGCAGGAAGCTGAGGAAGAGGGAAAGGCCATTGATGATTCATGGAGTGCTCTGCTGCAGGTTGTAGATTGCTCAAGGGTGCAGCTAGGTCTGAGGGTGAACTAGTGATGACAGTGCCTGTAGCCCCTGTTGGTTTGCTCCCTCTCATAGCTGGGGACATGGGATATTTGCAATCCAATTGACTGCCACAGCTCATAACACAGCTCCAGCATGGAGGCTGCACTCAAACCAGCATTGGAGCTGTTGGTACCTTGAGTGAGTTGAGCCACAACTTGTCATGGGTGATCTATTGTTGATGAAAAGGGGGTGTGATTTCTCCCCAGAGAAAAATGACAGCACAAGCACAAGGTCCTTTTGTGGAGCAATAAATAGACTGTTTCTTGAGGCTTTGAGAGGAGAGACTTTGGGAGGAAAAGCAAGACATTTAAAATGACAGAAAATAATTGGAGTTACTTCATAGAATCATTGTGTCTGGCTTTGAAAATAAATGCCCTAAGATTGTCTTGGGATTTATACTGCAACAGGAAATCATTAGCCTATGACAGCATGATATTTCGTTGACATCTTAAAAGTACACCCTTCCTGAAATGTTTTCCATTTTAAAGCAAGATTATGTGTTTCAGCTATACCAAAATCATATCATTCTCATTTTATTTATGTTCCTTTCTGTAAGACACGATTTTAACTACTTACAAAAAACTTGTATGAAGTACTTCTGAGATTTAAATGTTCCTTGAAGTAGAACTTAAAGACATGGCTGAGATCAACAGACAAGACTTATATAAGGCATACTTTGCTGTCATGTCAAAGCAGAATTTGTGAAGAGAAGACAGCTTTTATTGGATGGAATGAGATCTATGTATTTACTAAACTATATATATCCAGGTTTCTTGCCACTTAATTTGCTTTAATAAAATAATAAAATTTACTTTCCTTAAACTGTTAGAACTATACACTGTCTTTTATACAGCATGCCTCTTGCATAGTCTTCTATGGGGATTTTTCTTTAGGAGCTCTTTTTACTGATGCAAATTTTTGAATGTGAAAGCTCAACATACTATATTTAAGCTTTTGTGTTTTCTTCTGGTATAGGCTATATGTGTGGGCTCAGAAAGTATGCAGATAATGTATCCTGCAATCTTCGACCAGCTGTTGGCCTTTGTAGAGTTTTCCTGCAAGCCTCCACAGTATGGACAGCTGGAAACAAAGCACATTGCAAATGCAAAGTATAATCAGGTAATTAGTTAGAAATCTCGCTTGCTTCATTTGGCTGGTGAACCCAATTCAGCTTCAGCTATAGGTTATTTAGCAAGATGCATTTATGCCATCTGTAAATGTTTGCTGTGCATGTTGTGTAACAAGTTATTAGTATTTTTTACATGCTTTTGTTATCTTCATTTGCTCCCTTTGAATTCTGCTTTGCTTTTATACTTTGTATTCCTTCGTGTAGGAAGGGTCTTGCCTGGACACCAGTCATAGTGAATGTGTCTGAATTTGTCCAGTGAATTAATCTAAAAGAACTCATCTTACATGTGTTACCAAATTTAATAGAAAGGCACAATAATTTTGGATGGAGAAAATTCCCTCAAGCTGCAAATTTTTTTAATTGCACGTGCTGCAAAAAAATGGGACATGTTCTGTAATTCTTTTTATCTGTGTACTCTGCTGTTCACTAAGCATGAGCATCTGATTCAGTGTAATCGAAGAGGTAACTATTATGTATGTATTAATTTTTCTTATTCTATTTGTCCTGCAACACAATGGAATCACACTAGATACAACTATTTGCACCGGTGAGTTAAATTTCCTTAAAGATTGTCCTAATGTAGTTGTCTTGCCTAGACCACAACATTTCTGCAACTTAAATGTACTTTACTTCAATGTCGAGTACATTTTCATAGTCAGACTACATTGTATTTGCTATATTGTTGCTTGGACTGTATTCTTAGCAAACCTTGCATGCATTATACTGAGACTTCAGTGCAAAACATACATTTTCAGTTCCTTTTTTCACATATAGTTCAGTAATTTACTAATTTCTTTCCCTAGGCGGAGTGGGTAGCATTGAATTATGTACCATTTGCTGAGAGATCACTGGAAGTTGTTGTAGACTTATACCAAAAGACAGCTTGCCATAAAGCTGTGGTAACGGAGAAAGTTCTTCAGAACATTATTAAGGTAAAAGTTTGTCCTGCATATGCTCTGAGTTTAATGATCTTGTATTGAAAATAACGAGTTTTATTTTGAGCTAGCGTTGATAAACACTTTCCGGAAGCTTTAAAGCTTTAGTAAACAAATTGATATTTTTATGAAGATGAGCAGCAGGTAGTAATTTCTTTTGAAGCTGCAAGGCTATTGATTAGACTATATGAATTGCTCTTTAGCTGGATAACGGCAACATCATTATTTCAGTGTTAAGATAAAAATTAACCCATGTGTTAGGCCACAAAATATTAGTCTTTGACAATATTATGCACCTGAATCTTATAAGCAGGCCTGTTAGTAAATATGGCATTGAAGACCAATTTCTGTAAACTGGCATATATACTTTGGGGATGTGTGCTCTAGTTAGTACTTTGGTTTGCTTTTCATGACTTAGTGTGTCATTGATGTAGCTGTGAAATGTCATGGGTGCACAAATGTGCCTTTAAGGTGAAATTGGCAAACTTGTAACTTTTTGACCTTGTTTCCATTTTAACAGAAACCTTGGTAAATAATAGAAGTAGTAGTAAATGTCTGGAAAAAAATGTGACCTAGGTTTCTTTGTAATGACTTGGCTGACATCAGGTTGCTCCTCTATAGAAATCCAGAAAGCTGAATGTGTCTAAAATAGTTTTGTGGTATTATTTGGAATCTGTTATGAACTAAATATTTTAAAGTTAATGCAGATGTTTTCCACTTCTGTTTTAATGGGGTAGGTGAAACTGATAGAAACACTGCTTTTCTTTTAATGCTCGCAGTTGATAATAATGTGATCTCTTGCAGTAGATTAAAATGTTTTTTAAATTATTTTTCATGTCTCTAAAGCCCATGTTTATACTGGAATTAGATTTGACCCCTATGAAAAATAGCAGCAGAAGAAAATACTCTGTTTATCTCCACGGTTAGATCCTAGCTCTCATTATTTTTGGCAATAGAGATTTAATTACAGTTTGCTTTCCTCTCTTTGCTTTCCTCAAATCAGCGACTTCACTAAGAGCATTTGGGGGCACATATGTATTTAGTCACTATGTATTTGAAATGTAAATTAAATAAATCGTTTTCTGAAATAACTTGATATTAGATTCTAGTTAGTTTGACTAACAATGCTAAAAGGAATATATATAGCATAAATAATACATAGACTTAATGTTTTTAAACTCACTAATTACTTTCTTTTATAGATATTGAGTCTGGTTTTCTGTCTGAAAGATAAAAGTGTTTTCATTCACTATACAACTGAGTTGTATTGCAGCCTTTATCTTCACTAACTCTTTTTGCCTTTACACTTCATGCAGTTTAACAGTCAGCAATCACCAGGTGTCTTGCAGTGGTTATGTATACAGTTCAACTTTTACTAATATGTAAAAGCTTAAATTTAAATGAGGCTTTTTTTTCTTTATTGTGGAAGCAATTGGGATAGCTTTCTAGGAATGCGACTAAACTCTTCAGAATACACTCATGGTAACAAACTGCCTGCAATCTGCTAGATGCTAGGAAAGCCCATTTGTCAGGCTTAGCAGAAATGGTGGATGGCAATACAGAAAAATAAAATTAGCATGTAATTTCACTGTGTAATTGGTAATGAATCAACTCTGACTTCTAACATCGTAGTTGGCAGCAGAACTGTACTTTAGCAAGACAGTATATGGTAAATCATGTTTATAATTATATTTAAAAAAGAACATCTCATATACCGGCAGAGAAGACAGGGATGTGTACTGTCATCTCTGACAGTGTCTGCCAAGATCTTCTGCAGAAACCTGCCATATTCTTAGATTTGTCTGAGCAACTCTGAATTTTGTTTTAACTTTCATTTTGCAGACACTAAGAATACCTCTTAGTCTGAAATATTCCTGTCCTTCTGAAAGCACATGGAAGCTAGCTGTTTCCTCTCTGCTCAAAGTTCTCTCTATTGGACTACCTGTTGCAAGGCAGCATGCGTCTTCTGGAAAATTTGACAGTATGTGGCCAGAGCTAGCAAATACATTTGAAGACTTTTTATTCTCGAAAAGGTAAACACAATTTTCCTTCTTTATTTTTTTCTCCTGGAAGATATCTCTTAAGTTACTTTAAGTTACTTGTTCAATAAATGTGTCGGTAGAGTTTAGAAAAAAAATAGCCCTATCTTTAGAGATATTTGATATTTGAAAATTGATTAAATAAAGGAAGGAAAAAGAGTAACTAGTCTGTCTACTTCAAAAAAGTACACTTTTAGAAAGTAGTAGGAAAAGCTTCATTCAAAAGGTGAAATTTCAGAGCAAGAGCTCAATTAACCTCTGAATACAAGCTATAGCCTTTCTGACCAGGCCAAGGAATTCTATATAGACTCTCAAGGAAGTTACTATAGATTTGATGAAAAGTTACTGATGTGCAGTCAGTTTGTTCCTTTATTCATTTTGAACAAGATTGCAACAATATTTTAATTTTTTTATTTAAGGTGAACACTAGAAACTACGAATATTTCTCTTAAGCTCCATCTTGAAATATTCTTCTTACTGTGAATTTTGAAATTACTTTTTACATTGCTGTTCACTTAGAAGCCCATCGTTACTTTGCATTTGTTTCTACTCAGGATAATTTGACTGCACCTTAATAATTAACCAAGCTTTATTTATAATACTTTGTGAAAAGTGTAGCTACATAGTCAGATTCATAACCAGACAGACAGGCAGATGTGTAAGTACATGCGTAATCTCCCAGGAATGGAACACTGTAGATGTTGTCAGGTTGAGAAAGTCCAGAAGTGAAAAATAATAACAGTCAGAGACTTAGACAATTTGATGTATTAGTTTGTTCAACCAAAAGAATGTATCATTATGAAGGCATGATAAGTCTTCACAAGATGGTAAAAGATCACTCCAGAGAAGAATTTTTATTGTCCCTTGAGAATGGGTAAAAATGGATTTCAGTACAGTAAAGAATTATCTAGGTTAGACATGAAGGAAATCTTTTACTGTATGGAAAGTCAGGTATTGTAGAAGATTGCTTAGGAGCGCTATGGAATTTCCATCTTCTGTGAACATCTGTGGGTAAGGATCTTTTAGGAGTAGTTTAAGTATATCTAGTGCTGTCTCATATTGAAGGACAATGTAGTATATGAAGAAGTTAATTCTCTGATTTTCTGTATGTATGCTGATTTCAGTAACAAATTAATCTTTAATAGAAAACAGTAGGGTTCTGTACCTACCACTAATAAGCAGTGTATTTATGTGAGTATAGCTTTCAAAAACACAAAAGTCTGCAACCAAACACAGCTGTATTTACTAACGATAAGTAAACAGCAGCTTGCCCAAAACAGACAAAAAATAAATACCAAAGAAACTTAATTTTAGAGACACACCTGTTAGTGAAAGTGTTTGTAATAATGAATGACTTTGGAATTTTATCAGTGGGGTTACATGACAACCGAATGAAAAACTTTTCTCTTTTTTTTGCATTTACTTCAAAGAAGTATTATTAAATAGGAGGAATTTTAAACAAAAAAGCTCATCAAGACTACTTAAAAGACACTTTAATCATCCAAACTTTTGTTTGGTGCTTCACTATTTCTTCCATTTAAAATAATCTTTGCAGGATCTTGTTTGGTTTTGTTTTCAGCTGCGATTAGGAGTCCTTCTGCCATTCTGAGACAGGCAGTTCAGATCAATTAACACCCTATAATCACTATCATTGTTGGGTTTAGAAAATTAAAGCAAAGGTTTTTCAGGTTATTGTAGAAGAAGGTATGTTCATGTAGAAGTTACTTGGGGAATGCGTACTAATATTATTCTCAAATATCTGCAAAATAGATGAAACATATCCATTTTGCATGTTATTAGCTGACCCAGACTGGCACTGCTACAGTTTTTGGGTATTAATCACTTATAAATCCAGAGAAGTAAGATTTTCACAGGTCTTCAATGTAATTCAGGATAATTCACTGTCATCTGCATGACCTTTTTGGCCAAATATGTTGCCTATTTTTCTTAATTTACAGTGAGTGATTTACAGTTTTCTTGAAAGTTTTTCCAACCATAGAAATTTCATCTTAACTTGTTGCTTTCTAGAAACAATAACTGTTGCCATTAATTCTAATAGCTTTTGCCAGCTGTCATACATGAGCAAATGTTTTCTGGAGGTGAAGGAAAAATAGTACTCCTGTGAATATTTATGATGCCCTAAAACTTGTCTGTCTACACTTAAGTCTGGTTTTGCCTCTTTAGAGACCAGAGCGTATTCTATAATTTTACATGCAAAATGTGTTTTTAGGAATCAGTATTTTCATCAGAATTCAAGATGTTCTCAGAAAATTTATATGAAACTTTCGTGTTCTCTCCCTTAGAAGCTTTAAGGTTCAAAAGAATTTAAAATATTAAAATTTAAATAGGTTGGTGGTTTCTAGAACCATATGGCTACAGCAGGATGATTTGGCCTGTTACTAGAATTAATGGCCACTATCATTACTCTTTCCTGGCTTGTTATGAGTAGACTATTTTTCTTATATGGTTGTATGTTGTATGGCTAGTGAATGTATGGTTTGGGTTTGGTTGGGGTTTTTTGCACCCCCAAATGTCCATCTTTTTCTAAATATCAGTCTTCTCAAGTGCATGGTTCTCCTACATACAGTTAGGGCGCTGTCCCTTAGTAGCTTTAGGATAGGCAGCCTTTCTGTTCCCTCTATCAGCCTGAGCTTTGTGGCCTAAAAAAAGTTAGAGCTAAGAAGGGCATACGTCTGCCTCATGCCAGTAGTCAGGACAATTAGTAATAGCAGTCATTTCTCCTTGTCTTCATCCTCCTTCTCCCCACAATGCTCCTGAAGCATGTGTGTCTCTGTGATGCAAGGAAGGCTCTAGAGATAGCTGTGGAAGTTCCCCATGTTGAGGTAATTCTCATCTGATTTCCTTTGGTTAAGTCATTCTGCACTAATATGCAAGATGCTGTGAAACTAGCCTTGGCAAATAGGACAACCTCTGCCTTTTGTGTTAAAATTTGCTAAATTGTGTCTTTTAGTGGGTTGTAATTGCTGTCGTCAGACTCTTACACTGGTAGTTGTTCTATTTCTGAGTAAACTGAATTCAGAATTTTCTTTTTTTTTTTTTTTTTTTTTGTTCTAATAGAAAATACGTTAATCACAGTGGTGTCTATTCCAGAGTAATATGGGAGAATCTGTTCACTGTTTTGAAAGTAACAGCTAAAATATATTGCTGAGTTGAGGTGCATGTCAACTTTCAAATTATAGGAGAAGGCAGTGGGAATGTACTTTCTAACTGTCCATGTTGGTCCTTTGGTTTAGGCCAACTAGGTGACATAAAAAGTGGGGGTTTTGTTGTGTTCCCTGATTTATTTGTGTTGACGATGAGTTGTGGATTTTCAAGCTTTTGATGGTACTTAGTTTTTCATCTGTATCACCAAAATCAAATCACCAAGCCACAGATGAGAAGATGAGAGCCCCCTGTGCTCTTAGTTAGATTAGGGACTTGTAAACTTGAGTTATTTTTAGTGACCGTGCTGGCCATAGCTGTGGCTTACTGTGACCGTGAGTCCGTCATCCCTGGTGGCTTCCAAACTTGCAGGTAGGCCTTGCAGGACCAGGGGTTTATTGAGTCAGGTGCAGAAGTATACCAGTCTGGGTGCTCTGCTGAAGGTCAGCATGGATTGAAACAGTTCTGTAGTGCGAAGAATTTGGAACACACGATTCAGAGACACCGCAAGAGGCTATCAGAGAGACAGAATAACAGCATTACTGCATTATCTGGAACTTTACCCTTATTGAACATGTCACCCCGTGTGACAAGAATACAATTCAGTTACACCTGAGTGCAGTTAGAACTGAAAATTTACTTGCTTATGCTGTCATTCTGTAATTTTTCCTAAGCTCTCTGCTTCAAGGAAACTGAAATGTTTTGTCACAAAGAAAGTTACTTTTTCTCCTTCACTCCTATGTACCTTTTCATACTCCACACTTCTCATTTAATATTCCACGTGTTTCATGCTATTATCTGCCCAGGCTTCATGCAAAGCTGGGTAAATATCTTCCTTTTGTATCTGCTTTTCAAACCTTTATTCTTCAAAGCTGACTTAGCACTGCTGGGATGTTTCTAAATGAAACATCTGCATCTCTGTAAAACTTTCTCATGTCTGATGGCAGTCAGTCCTCCGAGCAACACTGCATAATAGATTTGGCTAGTTTTTCCCTTTAGCTTTGTTCATTAAAATACCCCAGCGCATATTGTCTCATTTTTGTATGCACATTCTCCAAGTCTCTATCTGGCTGAGAAAGAAGTAGAAAGATAAAACTATTTCACTGATGTTCTAAATTTTTTATCAACATTTTAAACATTTTTCTAGTCTAACTCATCATTCTAATCACTGTGGGCCTAAAAATTACATGTGTAGATAGCCTAATATTGCTTCCACCAGCAAAACTGGGTTGGCACTGGTTAGGCAAGAGGTTGCTGTGGTTAGAACTCTGTGAATCTCTTGTGGTTGAAATAGTGAACCTCCTCTGCATGGTCTTGCCTCTGTCTTTTGGGCAGGAATAGGATTTCAAGCCAGCTGTGGGGCTGAATGAGAGGAGGTGCCCATTGATGTTTAAAAAGCACAAAGCACAGCAGAAATGGTCTCTGTAGCTTTGTGCATCAAAAAAATTCAAACGTAGTAAAGAGAACCCATGTAATGAAAATGTTACTGTTGTAGAGCGTTAACAACTTCCAAGCAATAAGTTTCAGCCTTTTTTTTTTTTTTTCTTTCTTAAAGCAAGCTTCAGCCAAGCAGGCTCAATAATTTCAATTTTTATTATAAATCAAAATGACATTTAAAAATTAATATATTTCACGTAACTTAATTTACATAAAATTGTCTTCTAGTAAGAGGCTGGTCTGTTTATTATTTCATATCATTCTTCTTTCCCAGAGGCTTTTATGGAAGCATGTCAAGCCATTATATAAAATAAAATTCAACAAATATGTGTGTATATATAATTTACTAGAGCAGAAATCTGTGCTCACATGAGGGAATTAAATCAATACTCTCCAAAAAGATGCTTCAGAGCAGAGTGCTGCTGTGCACAGCAGGGCTTTGGGTGCCTGTTAAGCTCTTTGTTGTTAGGCTCTAAAGCCCTCCATAGACACTGGGCAGCGGCAGGGAGCCCTGTACCTAGGAAAGCCTGCACATAGCAACACGCTGCATCATTCTGCTTCGTATCTTCCCCAGCTCTTGACCCTTCTGGTACAGTGTGGCTGTATGGCATCTGACCAGCAAAACTTTTGGTCTCTAAGTAGGTATTTCATATAGACACCTTAAAAAATTATTTACTTGGGAGTAATTTGCTGCATCAACAAGTATGTAGCATGATCTGTAGCATATGTGGCAGATCAGATATGGATGACTGGACAGAAAGGTCTTAACACCTCTTTAAAGTAAATCTCAGCTCAAAAAGACAGTCAGTTGTAAATTAGGAAGTGTCAGAATGAAAGCTTCCCGTGTATTTCAGTGTGACCTGCCTTTGTTTGTATCATAATAGTTTGCTAAAAATTTTGCATAGATAACTTCTTTATGTGTTACAAGAGGTATTGACTGAACAGCTACTTCATATTTTGCTCTTTGTTTTCAACAAGTAACTCCAAACTCCTCATTGCCTAACACACAAACCAATAATAAATACAGTATTTCATATTTTCTTCCCTGGGTTTTTCTAGTCATACATATAACACTTGAGTGACAGTTGTGAAGTTACCTACATAAAGTCTCTTTGAGGAAGGGAGATAAAAGCAGGAACATTGATACATACTGTCATAATAGTCAAAACTGAAAATCAACTGTAGGTGTGCAGAACGAACTTCAGGTGTCTAATGCTAAGCACCCAGAAGATGGGGGGGAAAAAGCCTATCTTGGAAAAATCCTATTTGACTTGGTCAGCAACACATAGGAACAATGGGAAAAACAAATCAAACAAAACTGTTAGCTAAACTAACCAGTTTTGAATGAGATTTAGAAGCCTCCAAAGATTTTTAAACCTTTCATTACAGTTGGCAGTGGGATGGAGAAGATAGGCCCAGATGAGTGCCCTTATGAGGGCATGGCTGGCACAGGTCCACAGTCATATATTTGGCAGCTGCCTTGCCAGTGAGCACGTGCTTAGTTCTCAATTACCCACCGCATGTCTGTTGTTTCCTCAGGGGGGGATGACAATATAACATGGGGCAGAGGAAAAGCTGGGGGCTGGGGAGGGAGTTTTGGAATAAGGGAAAGGATGCCAGTCTGCTTGTCGCTACAATACTGAATGGGTTCTGCTGCTTACGGAACAGCTTGGTTCGTTGTTCAGTCCAGAGCTCCGTTTCCTTGCATCTGCCTATTCTGCCATAAATTATGCAGAAAATGTTATGGCAGATTGACTCTTATCATTTTCCTTCCTTCTCAGTAGTGACCATCCCGTGCACTTAATCAGACGGTTTCTCTGGATTAAAAAAACCAGCAAACACACCATCATCTATTTTAAGATGCGTGATAACAGAAAAGCATACACAGTAGCAGCAAGTTGAAGTACCACTAATCTTAATTCCAGTATTTCTTAACCATTCCTTTCAAGTGGTCAGATTACCAAACTGATCAAGCTTGAACCAAGCTTGAAGATGTTACATAGTTATTTTAAAAAGACAGAAAGAATGTGAAAAGGAGAGAATTTAATATATGAAATTATATTGACTCTTTATAGTGCCTTCTGTCTGATTTTTGTTGTTAATGTTACTGGTTATTGCATTAGCTGTAGTAACATGTTACCGTCAGTGCAAATCAGACACTATGGAGAAACTGAACCCACAATCCGGTGAGTTTTGCAACTGTCTTTCAATTTTAGAGAGGCATAGGTATGAGGATTCGAACTTCTGCTCTGAGAAAAATGATAACAGCAAACTAGGTCAGAACAGACACATATCTAGACCTATCTGCTGAATCTGTTGGATTAGTGGGATACCTAGGGAAGAGTGCAAGGTGACTACACAGTCATATTTTCATGATATGCTCCTTCAGCCTCCCAATTTATGTAGCTCAGACACGTTTTTTACCACCAGTTGTCATTGGCTTATAATTGATTTTTCTTCTAATAATTTCACTAACTGTATGTTGAATCTGTGTAGATTTTAGCAGGCAATCCTATGATTATGGGACTCTCAGAGAGGTATTTCAGAGTTTATCTGTTTTGTGAGGTATCTTCTTTGATACTTCTTTCTTCTTTCTGCTCGAAGTGCAGTAGAAGCAGATCCATAAAGCAAAACAGTTCATGATGAGGGCCCTTCACCTGCAGAGTGCTCACTTCAGGTTGTTTTTAGGTGTTTGATTTCAGAGTAGCTCTAGTCTGGCTTTCTGTCCTGCAAGCATCTAAGAGAGCTCGGAGTACATTTTCTGGTTTAGTTTCATCAAAAATGAATCCAGTTCTATGCACTCAGACATGAACCAAGGTTTACAGATGGGGATGTCTAAAAGTTTACCTTGAAAAGCCCATGTCTGATCCAAAACTAAAAACACTGATGTAGGCGTATCAGCTGAAATTGTTGATTGCTGTCTAAGCAATCAAAAAAAGAGGCCTTTACTCTTTCTGTCCTGCTGAGGAGGTTGGCCCAGTAACTCAGCAGAAGGAATCCAGCAAAGGAAGTGAATTTGAGTTCACTGAATGGGTGGTCCAGTAAGTACAAGTAAAGACTTCACCAGAGAAAAATGCATGACTGATGATTGGCAGAAAATTTCCGATCAAATGATAGAAGATTTTCAAATTTACAAGGAGGTAGGGTAGGCTCTTGTAAAGTATTGAGTAGTTTTCATGGTTGAATCACTTCTGGAACATTTCATCAGTAAATGGCTTTTTATGACAATGGAAGAACTGCAGAAAGTTCTGAATTTCTGCAAAACTGTTGTTTGTAAAATGGGTTTGTCTCTTCATAAGATTCATTAAGAATGAGAACAAATATATTATTTTAGTTATCAAGGAAAAAGACAAAGAAACGTCCCTTTAATGAAAAGCATATATCATGAATGCAAAAGAAAATATAAAACAAAAATTAAGATTTTTACAGATGTACTGCTGAAAATCAAAACTCTTCTGTCTTGCATACTGAGAGAACAGTAAAATGTAAAAACTGTGGTCCCCTTCACAGACTCATCTAAACAGATATTGTGACTTTTGCACATACAAGAGAGATTACTTAGAGATGCATATGACAAGTGGTGTTGGTGATGCAAGTCCTTAATCAGATCCATCATTTGTAACTATTTAATTTCAGTATTTTACTACTTTTTCCTTTGAATCTTTTTTATCATCATTATTCATAAGATGTTACTCTGCAAATGCTAATCATTACCATATAGTAGTACCAATTTGATGAATACAGTAATTTTAAAATGTAATGCATTTTCCCATACTTACCTCCTTATACATGTTGTGAATTTAAAAGTATAACATAGTATGTTTATTTTTAGTACACCTCCTGATAATCTCTCAATTCAAGAATTTCAGAAGAATGAGAGTATTGATGTTGAGGTAAGGAAACTATAACAAACATACTGTCAGACATAATGAGATAGTGACATTCACAGATTGCATTTGATTCTGAAATAATTGTTTTAGAAATTACCCATTCATTATTTTTTCTGTGATACTGTTTTCCTTTTTGAAAATAACACAGGAAATTCATAGGCTCAGAATTCAGCTGCTCCAGGGTTATGCAAAGAGTAGGAAGCAGCATGCCAAAAACTACTTCTTGTCCACTCAAGTTCAAAATGGCATAAAATGGCTAAACCAGAATGTGTTTCTGCCTCCAGCCCATTACCTCATTCTTACTATGTTATTGCCAAGCAATTACACAGGTAATGGTAAACTATGGAGGAAGCTCAGAGTGCTTTCTGTGTTGAGGGGACATTCAGTCAGCAATGACATTGTTGCCCTCCAGATGTGCTCTCAATACTGAGGAGCTTGTGCAGAAATGAAGAAGTGGTGTCCTGTTTGTGCAGTATGATGACCACTATAATTGTGAAAGAGATCATGTTTGGCGAAAGAAAATTAAGATGATATTTGAATGAAGAGGGACTGGTCCCTTCATTCCAGGACAGAAATGTAGCAGACCAGAGATTAGGGGTACAAAGGGAAGGGAGTTGTAGAGAAAACATGGCAGTATGTGTGGATTTGATCACCTGTCATCTCTCCAGAGTGACAGCTGGGACACAAAGATTTCTGGATGAAAAGCAGGAGCGGTTCTGCCTGCAGTGAGCAGAACTCTGAGGACTAATGCATTAATTTATGGAGATGTAAGCCCACTTTGTTCCTGAATGGGAGCATCAAGACAAGGATAGAAAGCATTTCAGTTAATATACATTGCCTTAAGCTAATTAACTCACTTGTTCTGCTTTGCAGATGTCACATTGTAAGCATGTGATATATGTGTTAATGTCATAGTGAGGATATTGAGTGGAGGGAAAGGGAGAGTCCCAGTGTTAGATATTCTCTTTTCAAAACCATAAATTCTTTTTGAGGAATATACTTCAAATGTCAGTGGAAATCTAAATTAAAACTGCTTCAGAAATTCTGAGCAAAGTGGTGGTGGGAGAAGGTTTATTATATCAAGTTTAATGTTACATGCAAGACCACAGTTTTTGGAGACCTCTGCAAATTTTAAAAGCTAGTATTGGAAGGTGTTATGAGGTTTCATTAGGCATGTCTCTTGTTTAATGTTTCTGTAATCTTCATTCTAGAATTACAACTTTAATATTCAGAAAACCAATGTAAATATATGTAATTTATTTTTAGGTGGTGCAGCTTATCAGCACAGAGATATTGCCATATGCTAATTTTATTCCTAAGGAATTTGTTGGTCAGATAATGACTATGCTCAATAAAGGCTCGATACATTCTCAGTCATCCTCCTTTACAGGTATGGTACTTGAATGACAAAAGATACAGCATTTAAATCTACTAGAAAGTAACAAAAACGTTAAGAGTACTCTGATAAAGACTTGAAGTTCCATGGCATGCATTCAGTATAGACTGTCTGATATCCAGCTTGTTTTTATAAACTGTATTTCATGGAAGCTGCTGACCATTCCTTGCAGGTTTGGGGTTTTTTTGATTGTACAGTACCAGATATTATGATGTAGAACTGGCGCTGCTGAGGTTTTTTAAAACTGAGTTCATACATTTCATTATTGTAGCAGTGTCAAGTAGGTGACATTCCTGAACGTGTTGCATATTTTATCTTTTATTTTTGTAACTATTGTAATTGCAGTGTCACAGTAATATATTCTTATAATGTATTCTCAGTGTTTGTTCTTATCACTCTTGATCTTGTTTAATACTAGAGGAGTGGTAACCTTTTTGCAAAATATAATAAACCAATTGAAATGCAACATTTAGTGTACTGGCATGCACACTGCACAATTAAATATGGCATTTTACTCTTACAGAAGCCGAAATAGATATTCGAATGAGAGAGGAGTTTTCCAAGGTGTGTTTTGAAACACTGCTCCAGTTTTCATTCAGTAATAAAGTCACAACTCCTCAGGAAGGCTACATCTCTAGAATGGCACTCTCTGTGCTCTTGAAAAGGTCACAGGATGTATTGCATCGCTACATAGAAGATGAGAGATTGAGTGGCAAATGTCCTCTTCCACGGTATGTGCACTGTCTTTGGGAAATGAAAGGTATTACCAGTACTTTGAGAAGAAGGTTGCGTTCAGAATATCACTCAATCATTGAAAAAGATATTGTGTGTGGGGTGGGTGGTTAAGTTTAAAGGCAGGGAAATGTTTCTGGCAAAGATACTTTCAAAGAAATTTTTTGTTGAAAAAGCTTTAAGTAATAATGGTCATATTCAGTTCTGTTACATAGACAAGAAGAATGTGACTTAGTAACTAACACTTTCAATTACTGAAACAATGTTTCTGATATCTGTAACATAATACTTCTGAAATCTAATTTTCCTTAATTCCCAATAGAGCTATGTATAGTTTCTAAATTGAGAAGGTGGAGTCTCCACAATAATGAGATAATATATCAGAACAGCAACATTGTGAATCATTGCTCAAGTAACTATTCTTGAAATAGAAAAATTGATGGAAGTACCATGAAATTCTTTAAAATGGAACTTCCTGAAATTTCACTCAACTTTTGAAGATTTTGATTATGGATTATTTAATTGATTATTTTCATGTTACAGTTAATCATGTACATGAGTATTTTCAGATCGAGATGTGAATGTATTAGTTTCCAGTATCAGACTTATTCTATCCTAGCTGATACCAGTGGTAGTGGGAAAGTTAAAGACAAATGATAACCTTAATCTTTAAATAGCTGGTTTTTGGTAGACTTTATTGCAGCTGTTTCCATTACGTGGCTTTTTTAGGTTTGTTTTTTTTTAGTGTTGTGTAGGTTTCACAGAAAACTTTTATTCTTGAGACAAAAATGAGTAATTGACTGTTTGCATTTTTCCCTTTGTAGGCAACAAGTAACAGAAATCATATTTGTTTTAAAAGCTGTCAGCACTCTCATAGATTCACTTAAAAAAACTCAACCTGAAAATGGTAAGTTATCATTAAACAACATGGCTCTAAACAAGATAACATTATATCTGCCACAGATACATACTAATTATTTCCTGTAGTAATTTTCGCACAAATATGAAGGAAAAGTGTAATCTGTAAGATTCAGTATTTTACAATTCTGTGTATGTGTAGGTGGCAGGTAGACTGGAAAAAAAAAAACAAACCCAAAATTTTTCCAATATACCTAAAAGTAGAAGGTCCGAAAGTGTGTTTAGTAAAATCGAAAGCTTCAATTTATGGTGTCTTTTCTTAGACAGAGCTTGCTGTCTTCTGAAAACAAACAAAAAATCTTCTGTACAATGTTAATAGAATTCTTAAATATACTTAGTCTTGAGAGATCCCTTTTTCTTCCTGTAACACCTTTATAGGTCACTATGGATCACTTTTGTATAAGCGCACTGTGCAAGTAAAGGGGTGGTATACAAGTTAAAAGCATGGGCAGGCAGTAAGGTACTTCGAACTCGTGGTCTTGCTTTCCATCTCTTTCTGCTGTAGTGCCTCCTGTGCCCTGTGTTGAGAAAGATGCCTTAGCTCACTGATGTCCAAGTAAATGGTTGTCAGACATATTTAAAAGGCTGAATTAAATGGAACACCTCAGTTTCATTTACAGTCATGCATCCTGTTTCTTCTGTAAGCTGTACCCACTGTGTGTGTAGAGAGTTCCCACCAGAAAACTTAGTCAGGTGTCTTTGTTAAAACAGCTGTGTTGGACTCTGAAATTCTGTCAGAATTGCATATATAACACTTCCCTCTACCTCCCTGCTTTTGATACTGTGAGGAACAGAAAAAGCCTTTCAGTCCATAAACAAACAAGCAAACTAACCAGCCTTTCCAGAAAAACACATGCAGGTGGGTTTCCTGAAAGAGGCAGTGCTCACCTAAAGCGTCACTGAGCAACCAGATTTATGATCATGTGGTTTCCAAGGCTGATGGAAAAAAGGCTGAAGGCAGGACTATGCCAGAATGCAGAAAGCCTTTTGGTTTTGTCCTGAAGGCAACTGAAGACCTACTTTGGTGGGCCTTTCTCTTAGAAGGGTAGAATAGCTAACTCAGCTGGACTCTTCCCCACATCCCTCCTCCTGCAATAAGAGAAATTCTTCACCTGGTCCATATATGGCAGTGATTGCCAAACCTCCTAGTTTCTTACGAAGGAAACCACTGGTCAAATTAGAGAATCACTTTAGTACCACTTCTAGCCTTTAATAGTTTTATTTCTTTTAAGAAAATTACTAACATTGTCTGAAATCAGGGGTTTGTTCAGATAAGGAAGGAAGTGACATAATAAATAGCATACGTGCTACAATATTTATTTTCACTTGTTGGACTAACAAACTTTACCATGGATATTTTTGTGTCTTGGTCCAGGGTTTCTCCCTCTGCCTGCTATAGCTCTTGTAATGTGAAATGACTTGAAATTAATAGAAGGCCTCATTGCTCACAAGTTTCCAAAAGTAAAATGTGCATCCAATTCAATTTTCTGTCAATAGCTGAGAAGAGAGGCAGAAAATGTATGTGTATTACAGATTTAATGAAAGTATTAGCTTCAGTTTGTCAGTTCTTCATCCAGAAAACACAGTGAATGACTCATATGTAGAAACACAGGTGTGTAGCACCATTTTATGGGCATCCCATCTGGCTTCCAGCTGCTGCTGCAAAAAGAGTATAGCTCTCCTGTAAATATCCTACATCATCTCTGAGAGCCCTGTTACAGATGTCATAGCATCTCTATAACACTAGGTACCTATGTTTAGATAGCTGAATGTGCCCTTATTTATACAGGTATTGGAAAAATCTGTTGTAAGGATTTGGACACTAGTAACTGATGCAGTCTGTTCTTGTCTTCCTTGCAGTTGATGCTAATACGTGGGCACAAGTTATTGCCTTGTACCCGACCTTAGTAGAATGTATCACCTGCTCCTCCTCGGAGGTGTGCTCTGCTCTGAAGGAGGCACTCGTTCCCTTTAAGGACTTCATGCATCCACCAGCATCCAAGGTACAGAACGGAGAGTCTTGACCCCATAAAACTACTTTTTTATTCTTGAAGGAAAAAAAAAAGGTATCCAAAAATGTTTGTTCCCGGGTGAAGTTTCTCTGAGGAAATCTCTTGTGACCAGTACTTTGGCAACCAGTGCCGACTGCCTTTTAATTGTATTAACAAGAGCTCAGTAATTCATGAATACAGGCTATATCTCAAAGGTTCCAGAGTGAGTAGCAGTGCAAACCTTTAATAAATTTAACTGAATAGTTGGAATCATTTATAACCTAATGTACTTGCTACAGTATCTTGAAGTGGTGATTGAAAAGTGGGCTTATGTACAGCTTGTTGTGTATGTGTTAATGATGTAATTAAAAATATTTCAATTCAGTCAGATTTATTAGGCTGGTGTTTTGCACCCTTTTTTTGAAGTACGAATTGTACTAAAATTTTATGCAAGATAGTACTGTAACATTCCATATATCTGTAACCAGCCTTTGTAAACAAAGGGAACTGATATACTTGTGTGTATAATAAATGGTACAGTTCTGTATAAAATAGTTGCATTTATTATTTAAATTCTTTTTAAAAGATTGATAATGTTAAATGCTCTAAAATGTATTTATTATGAATAAGTTGTATGCTTGCATTTTTACTTACAGTTTGCCTTCTAAATTGCCAGATATGTTCATTCATATCTGATCATGCTGTTAGTTCTTTTGCTTAATTGAATGTATCTTCTCTGTGGCCATCGGACATCTAAAAAGAGGGTCATATGACAAAGGAAGCAGTCAGTAGTCTGCTGGTCTCAAACTTCACAATAGTTGACCTGAAGTAAGTTTGAATATGCAGAAATCCACTGTAGCATTTCAACACTGCCATACCTCACTTCATAATATATTTGTTTCAAGACATTTGTTCTACTCAACTCTGACTATTTTTGGAGTTGCAGCCTTGCTTTAAAAAAAAATCACCTTATTTGAGGTTTGTCAACCTCTCTTGACCTTCTTGGCAAGTATCACAGTCTTTGAATCATGACCCAGGAAAGGTGATTCCAAATTTCTGAAATACTTGGCTGTAATATTTTGTTCAATATTTTTAAGTGCTTTGTTTTGTAATGTCTTTTCAACCCCAAAAAATTGTTCTAATCTTTTAATTATAAACTGTGTCTGATACAAAACCATGAGAAGTGTATTTTTGAAGATAGTTACTTATTTAAAAGTGCAGTAAAATTTGTCATTAAGTAAATATGTTTCACTTCCACGTAATACACAGTCGAAGCAAACCACTTTTAATAGTATTGTTTTTAACGTTTGTGACTTAGCACTTAAACTCTAATTTAATTATGATTTTAATAATGTTTCATCTGTATTCACATATTTTTAACCTGTGATGTGAAAGCACAAAGGCCGAATGTAAAGAAGACAGGTGCCTTTCTATGGATTTCAGAATTTCAGAGCTTTTCTTTAGGCTTTTGTTCTTTAGTCTTTTGTAGATATTAAAAGATATTATCATGCCTAAGAAATGGTATTATATCTGTTTGCTTTACACCTTCCTGGCTAAAGGGACATTAGTACATGTGAATAGATGTAGAAGTTGTAGGAGCTTCAAGTTGAAGGTGTCATGAAGTGGTCAGGGTTAAAAATATCCTGTGTGAATAATGTGATACAAGCCCAGCTTTGAATAGCTTGCTTCCAGAAGGCTTTAGTTTATGGTCCTTCTTAAAAGCTTTCTGTTCCAGAGTACCATCAATATTGAAGAGGCTTCAAGACCTTCCACATTTCTCTGTGACCAAAGTTGCATGGAACTTAATTGGCAAGGGTGTGTAGTTTTTAGAGAACACAGTTTACATTAAAGAAACAAATCCTTCCCATTAATAGAATTTATGTCAAATAGTAGCTGCTTCGGAGGAGCAGTTCCAGTATACGGCAGAACTGGGTCCCACATACAGATAACAGCATCATCCGTGCTCTGAAAATGAAAACCTGGCAAGCGCTTTCCTAATTAGTGGAAGAAATTCAAGGTCTATGAGGTAATTAAAGAAACAAAGTGTAGGACAGCCAAGAAAGGTATTAATTTGGTTTAGAATATATTATCTTAACCAGGATTTCTGGAAAGAGGCGTAGAGACCTGGGTGAGTTTGTTTCTAATTAGTTTCTAATGGGTTTTTCAGTGATAACACAGACGCATTCTGTCCACTGAAGCAAATCTTCAGCAGTATCTGTATTTTGAAATGGGGGTATGTAAGTCTTCCCCGACTCTAGAGGTCAGACTACCACCTGTGGACATTAATCTTCAAAGAGTTTTGAAATTAATTAACAATAAGCTAATTTTCCTTCCTTTCCTCTTAATTACAAATTAATAATACCTGTTATTTGAGGCATGTTTTGGACATGCAAACTAAGGTTGACCATATTCAAACTGCTTTCTTGTATTTTGTATGAATAGTCTGAGAACTAAAAACTATTTAGTTTAGAAAAGAGGTTTTCCATTGGCTAATTTTGTCTATGAATAAGAATTATTCCCTGTTCTGTGCCTTCCTGTCCAACACTTTTATTTCTTCCAACTTGAAGTATCATCTTTTTTTTTCTATTTGTACTTTTTCGTAAATATTCTTAGGGTTTCTTTGATGCAAACAGCATTTTTTAATATTTAAATTTCACATTTTTACATGTTTCTAGCAAGGTAAGTGTTGTTCCTGAGGAAATCTAATTTAATGTTACCTCTTGAGTAGACCCATGTCTAAGTTATATTCAAGTCTGTAGGGTTGCTTAGTCATGACAAGTAAAACACGTGGATGTTCTCAGGCTTGGGATCTGCACTGTGTCACTGAAATCAGCTGGAAGGGGGTGCAGCTGACTGTATGGAAGTAAGTCAGCTGGAAGTTAAAAGGTAAACTTACTGAATGTAACCACAACCCTCACTTTTTTTCTTCTTCTCCCCAGCTTTAAAAAAGACACGGATTGGGAATCCAAAGAGAAAATGTGAGGGTCTTACACATTATTAGAACGTTCATATCAAGAATTTGGATTACTAGGGAAAACTTCTATGTCTCAATGCCATGACCACTGTTTTAAGGTACACAAGGATTTATGATTGCATAGTAACTCTGATTTAAGAAAAACGAACAGAGAAGCTGGGAATTTCTTTAAGAGGTCTTGATTCTTTAAAGTAACCTACAGTAGTTACTTACTTACCATCAGACATGCTTATTTAATTGGACATCCATTTTGTTCCCTTGTCCATGTGCCTGCTTCCCTACCAGATTTATTGGTGATCTGTGGAATTTTACTGGACATTAAGCCACATGAAATACATGGTCACAGTTATTTACAAGAGCAAGTAGGAGCACATTTGTGAAACTTCAGTAGTTTATCATCGTATCCTGCAGATGGGGTGATTTTTTCGCCCAGGTTGAGTTGTATCTTCCTGTCCAAAGGCAAACCTTCTCATAGCTGGGCTTGAACTTTTCAGGCAAGGTATTTTCATATTATGTGGTGATAATGCTAGAATGTTCCAGCTGTGTCCTTACATATAGCAGTGAGTTCTGCTGTCATCCTCTTCTCTTTTCCTGTTTGGTTGGGTTTTGGGTTTTTGGTGGTTTGGTTTTTTTTTGACTTCATGATAATGCAAAAAAATCAGAATAATTTCATATTGCAGTTGAGACTAAAGCATTTTCCTATAGTACCTCTATATGGAATCGTAAAATAGTTTGGGTTGGAAGGGGAACCTTCAAACGTCATCTAGTGCAACCCCCCTGCAATGAGCTGGGACATTTTCAACTAGATCAGGTTGCTCAGAACCACATCCAGCTTGGCCTTGAATATCTCCATGCCACTGTACTCACAACATTCTCCTTCCAGTGTTTTTGAAGTTTTACTTGTTCTGACAAAAGAATGTAGATCTACATCTATAGTTCACTTTATATGCCCTGGTATTCATATAAACTCGAGACTTTGCTCACTGTAACAAAATGTGAACTAGCAAGTCTAGTCAGGGTTCTTCTGTTCTCTATTTCACCCTAAACAAATTGTAATATGCATTTTAGGATATTGTTTAGCCTTGTTCTTAATATTGTCCATACAGGTATTTTATGTTTGGTTTTTTTTCTTGAAAATAGTATTTTGGAAATTTACTATATGTGGAATAAACTATATAGGAATAAATCAAGTAAAAATATTAATATAAAGTAATCTTAAATGTAATATATTTGTAAATGTATAAAGTTATCTTCTACAGTCATGTAGAATAAAAAATAAATTTTTCGTAATTCCTCTTTTTTTAGGCATTGGGCCATGAAAGTGATGAGGTCCATGAAGTTAACACTTCTGTTTATGCAAGCAGTTAGGGCTCCTGTACTAGTTATTTATCCTGCATAAGTGGATATCTAGTACAAGACTAAACATTTGTTGGGGAAGCAGAATGAGTTGTTACTGCTTAACACCTATGCCAGCAATGAAGTAAAAAAAAAAGCCCAACTGAAGCATGAATGTTACCTGTCTGTTGGAAAGGAGTATGTGCTATTCCTTTGGACTTTGAGACCATTTTCAGTTGTTCCAGTTGTTTCTTTGAGGTTTCTTTGTGTTACTGTTCAGATCACGAGGACTTCATGAGGTGTGCACGTAAGAATTCATTCTAACCAGGCAGTTGCTGGTTTCTCCTTGATTTTTTTTTTCCCTTTTTTGGTGCTAAGCTGAATTTAAAGATACATGTTGCTTTGGGGGTGGGGGTTTTCTTCTCCCCCCCTCCTTTATTTAGTGAGAAAGCAGTCAATTATTTCTGAGTCACGAATGTTGCTTGAGCTCTACAGAACAGTCCTATGATGAGGTTTTGCCACTAAGAAGCAATCAATCTTGTAGACGTTTTATTTCCTTTCTCCAAACGAGTACTGATTGGCTTAAGATGAGAGTCCATTCATGGACATTTGTCTGATCTTTTTATATTACTAAACTTGAACTAATCTAATGCAAAACTCAGAATTTCCAGGCTCTGTCCAAGAGCACAGCTCTGCTCCTGGAAAGGAACCTGAAAAGCCAATGCTAAAAATTTTGACTGTATGAGAATGGCTTTCTTAAAAGCATATTTGCAATAGAAATTACCATGAGCAGAAATGCCCCTAGTTACCAGGGATGCAGGAATTTCAGAAAATAAAATAAGCTGTGTGTATTTTCTGTCCATCTATTCTGATCTTTTGTTCTGTTATTGTTCTCCATGTCACATCTGAAAGGGGAAAGAGAGTATCCCAAAACATTACAGTATACATTCACATAGTATGTGTATAGTGTTGTGAGGAAATCAGCTTCTGAAAATGTGGCTTGTGTGGTACTAGCGAGTAACATTTTTCTCCCCCCCTTAGCTTAGTAAACTGGGATTGTGTTGCTTTAAGAATTCTTGGAAATGCCTTTATTCTAGAACTATATTATTTAGTTCTATTGATAAAATATTCTAAGATAATGTATGCTTTTCGTTATGAGCATTATGGTTTGGTATAAAACAAATTTCTCTTTTAACAAGTTGTGTGTGTACATGCAGGTGAGATTCAGAATTTTCATCTCTAGCATCTTCAGGTAAAAATGCTTAGGTACGTATGTAAACTGCTTGAGACTTCACTCATTCTGCAGCTTACTAAATAACTCTGTCTGTTATGAGGCTAGCAGGATATGGAAAGTTTTTCCTGGCTGCAAGTTATGAATAAATTTAGTGAATTAGGTCTGTGCAGTATTTAGTTTATCTCAAGCCTCAGGAAAGAGCTTCTCAGAGAGCCTCGGTAGGACCTGTGCACCATCATATAAACATACTTTCTGGATAATACTTTCCTCACATGAAGGTTGCGTCGTATTTTAGGAACTCGTCAAATGTATGTCTTGTTTCATAGCCAACTTGTAGTGTTCAGGTTTATGTCACATCCAAGGTACCCAACTGCTCTCTAGTTTAGGACAGACAGTGCTATGTCCTCTAGGAACCAGCTGGTGGGATCAAGAATGACTACATCAGCAGCAAGTGAGGAAAAAATCTGGATGCTTTAAGACAACTTGTGTAAGAAAGTGAAATTAAATATTAATAATTCTTAGGGTAGAGGGGGAATATCAAAATAAAAATCATTCAACTTCAAGAAGGCAGACCACAGAAAATTGGTAGGTAAGATCTCACTTCAGACTTGTCTTCTGTAAGAGAGAAATTGAGGAAATAAGACAGTTCCCTAGAGATGTGAAGATCATGACTGAAAGTACATCCCAGTACAGGAGGAGATTAACTGTAATAAGAGATCAACTCAGGTAAACGAGGAAGTGCATTGACTTCAAACACATGGAGGGGAAGCCTATGGAAGATGGAAATTAAGAACAGGTTAACAGATAAGGATGAAAGTAAATGAGATGTAACTGTTAACTGACAGAGAATAAACACACAAGT